TCAGACTAAGTAAATATATATATACACTTAGTAAAAGTGTATATCCTTTCATACTACTAAAGGTAACTGCGAATTACCTCCACATTTTAAGTACTGTCTGTTTCCATATTTTCCCCAGCTCAAACTGCTTTATTAAAGCAGCCTACACGTCTACACTGGGTTGTATTTCTCCTCAGTGTGCCATTCTCTGTATGAGCCAGTTAAGAGCCAGAACTTGGCATGTTCTGCCCCTGTAAGTGCCTTCAGAAAGAACTGGCTGTGAAAGCTGCAGTTAAATAGCTGTAATTATGTACAATCAGTCGACAACCAGAGGCTGGCTAAAAGGCGGCTCACACACAAACAACATTGAAAATGGGCAGAATAAAAGCTTTGAGGGCCACAGAAGCCAAAATATTGCACTGAATAAAAAGAACGGCAGCAAGTATTAAAATCCAACACCAACGAATTCAACAATCAAATGCACTTCGGACATCAGATTTAAAATAATGAGCTTAAACCATCACGTTATGTTGTCTCTGCTGTCTACAGCTACAGAAATCTACAGTGTGACACGAATGTGTTGACACCACAGATTTATTTTAATGTGAACAACAAAGAATAGGGGAAGCTGTAATGACAGGGTTCCAGGCCACTGCTGAGAGGCACCAAGCTACATTTGTAGTGCACTAGAAATTCTACAATCATTTTTGTTATCAGTTTATTATCGAAATACACAACGCTTCCTATATTATCTAAATATGCTATAAACAATTGAATGTGATTTTTACTTATTTCCTTAACGGTAAATTCGATACCTAATCCATAGTGATTAGGCAAGAAAACGTAACTGCGTGTAACTAAATAAATCAAACCTGTTATTAAAAGTTTGGCCCAAAGAATCAAGATGAAACTGAGTCTGGATATTCATTTCAGGGGTGGAAACTTGCTGACAGTTTAACTGTTTAACTGTCTGTTTCTATATTTTCATGTTGTATTTTTTTGCTCCACATTGTCTTGTCTACGTTTTGTCTTTCTTGTTGTGTACTCATGTATTTATTATTTAACCCTGAAACTGTACAACGCAACATTATAGTTTGTGTTAGGACTAAAGGCAGGGGGGAAGTTTTATCACTATGCCAGCTGATCAAGAATTAAACCACTTTATTTTTATTTTATGAGGTGTTAAGTACTGAATTCTACTGATCGTAAATTAAATAATACGTTGGGTATGTGCCCTTCAAAAAACAGAGCTTGCTTTAAAGTTATGCATTTTATTCTTGTTTTATCTTCAAAATGATGAAACCAAGCTTCAAGATTTTAGGGACAAGATCAATGAAGGCAAAAGCACAAGCGGCACATGATGAAAATCTGGTGTGTTGCAGTTGAGGTGCTGTGTGTTACTGCTGCCTCATTTTGAATGTGACTTTGCTGCTGCCTCTTGTGAAGAAAGCATGAGGGACACATTATCACATTGTTTGGAGGGAAGAACACTTATCTGCCTGAGGGCAACAGTCCGGATTACACGCATCTCCTCGGTGAACCTCGGCTTGGGGACGGGTCGGATCAAAGGAAGAGTGCAGCAGCCTGTAGAGAGACAAAGGAGCACATGAGACCCATAGAGGACCATATAACAGCAGGTTCATTCACAGCACATCTGACACTGCACGTCCAGACTCCAGCACCATAGAGGCTGGACCTGTGGACATGGCAACGGTGCACATTTTGGGTGAGGGAGAAAACTGGAGCTTCCAGAGGAAACCCACCCAGACATGGGAGCAACATGAAAATTAGATAAAGAAAGGCCAAGCCAATGAGGTGTGGCCCCACAACCTTATTTTGATATACAACTGATATTATACACAAATATATAATGTATTATTAAAAAGTCCATTTCCAATCGTATTATGTAATGAGTGTGTAATAATCTCATTTTCAAACAGACACACAACCCACATTAGGCAAGTCCTCTGTGTGATCATTAGAATACAAAGAGCTGACGTTGCTCATTGAAGGCAGCACTGAAACACACTGCTCCAGAAACAGCTGAGTGAAACACTTAGAAACAAACAGAAATAACACTTTCTGCCAATTTCTTTGGGTAGAGCTGAACATTGAAAATGTGAGCTGGTGTAGGGGTGGCAAAGGTTTGGTTACTTTTTTATACTAAGATATCCATTTATTTGTTCTGATGTTTGTGACTGAAATTTTGCAACTATTTGTTTTTACATTATGAAGGTATGCAAAATGGTATGATAGATATGCCTGATCCAGAATTCATATAGGGTGATTTATTAGCATAAACAGTGCCGCAAACCAAAGATGATATGGAACTACTCACATACATAGAGCCACAGACACACAAGTACCCTGATCTGTCTACTATGAATAATAATAATAATAATATACCAGGGTAATCACAGTTAATAATAATGAAAATAATTTCAGGGGTCACTAAAATTTGATGCTTTGTTTGACACCCCAGGAGTAGACACTCCTAAAGAATACTGTAGATGGGCAGCTCAAAGACTCCTCTCTTTACAGTGGAGTTTATATTTATTTTGTTCTGGCACTCATCAGAATGTCTTCAGAGTACAAGCCTATTTCAGAAGGACAATTTTTACCCAGCACAGGACTCCAGTGTCAGAATAGGGGGCACAGATATCCGCCTGCACTGTTTGCCAACTTTAATAGGCACTAAGTCCACTGGGACTTCGAGCTGTAGAGCCTGCCCTTGAAATATTCTTAAGACTTTCACTTTGTAGGCCTAGTAGCCCTGAAAGTGAAAGTCTAAAGAATTGAATCGATCTTTCATTAGGTTAGTTTCACACAACTCAAGTTGCCTTGATGGAGGATTGGAATTGGAAAGAAAAAGTGTCACATTTTGAATGTAATAAAGTCTCCATCTAAGGCCACCCACCACACCTATGGCTGGTTGATGTTTTTTTTATTCTGTCTTTAGGCAACATTATTAGAAATAGTGACCTTACCTTCCAGTGCTATGCAGATGACACACAGCGTTACCTGTCTATGACAGTTCAACTAGAAAGGCTTTGTTCCTGCATAAATAACCTAAACATGGATGATCCTAAACAACCTAATCCTCTAAAAACAGCAGTAGTCTTACTCAGCCCCGAACGTCTGTGTGTCCCTCGCTGCCCAGATTCCCACACTCAATAACGTTTGCGTGGCCCCTAGCAACAGTGTAAGGAATCTTGGAGTTGTTATTGACCATGTGCACAAAAGAGCCAAAATCAGGAATATTCTTTCTAAAAGTTTTACAGAGAAAAACAGATCCATGCATGGCCACTGTGGACGGAACATATAACTTGTGAGTTAAAATCACTCCACTGTCTTCCTGTGGAGTAAAGAATAGAAGGGCTACACATGGTATGGCCCCCTCCTACCGCTAGGACACATTACCACACCAACCAAACCAACCACTGCTCTTGTAAAATGCCAGACTTCAGGTGGTTCCTAAAGTGTCAAAAAGCACAGTTGGACGCAGTGTTTAGCCACCAAGCTTCTATACATGCATCAATGTCAAGGAAGCAGACACAGTCTACATTCAAGGCCAAAATCCTTCTTTAATTCAGCAGGGTAGGGCTAGGTGGTTAAGAATTAGTAATACAACTTTAAGCAAACAAAGTAATTATGACTTCAGCTGTAATCTGTTCATTGCTATTCACCCGCTGTCCCATTGTCTGTTTTATAGCGTGATGATGGGACTCCTGAACCTGGCCTTTTTTATTTTAGGGCTATACACAAATAAATAGAATTGAATATTGCATAATTGAAGGATGGGTCAAATGCAGAATATACATATAGGCCTTGAGCTACAGTTAGGGCTTTCCATTTGAGCGGCATGCAAACGTCAGCTTCATAAAGCCATAAGGGGACACATTATAATAAGATAGGCTTCACCTCTCCACAGTTCTGGTTTGTAGCTGCTTGGCCCGGGTCATCACCTGTCACCCACGCTGCTTGTAAGGTTGGTAGCCGAGATGATATTGACAAGAAAAAACGACAATTTCACTCAAAAACGATAATGTGATGGAATAAATTAAAGTATTTGTTAATAAAGACTCACGTTCGTAATAATTCACCGTAGAAAAGCGCAATATTGGACGCAGTAAATAAAAAAATACAAAAATGCTACACGAGTTCTGTGAAAGGGGGAGTTCCAGTGCCAATCTAGAGCACTGGCGCCCTCTGCTGTTCAGTAATAGATCTGCATGACAGTATATCTCATTTTACATATATATATTTTCATTCAATTAGGAAGAATATACATACATTAAAGTTCAAAAGCATTTCCCTCCTATGTAATGATACTCATGACAATAGTTTTTGTGGTCTTTAAGTGTTATGGTTATTATCGTTATATATGTTAGTATTATTAAAGTGCACCATTTGCAGGTTTTGATTTTCTCAACACATCTATTTCAAAATTATAGATATTCAAGTTGTTGTATTGAAATCTAAAAGTATAAATAAATACAAGTTTATTTATCATGTACTTACATATAAAAGTTAAAATAATGAAACACTCTACTACCACTGCAAAGAATATGAGCTTCACCTGCAAAGAATATGACAATAAACAAAACAGCTGAATGCATGTGAATACAATGAATTGTATTTTCATTATTGTATTATTTTGAAGGTTGTCAGATACAATCTACTATACAAAATAAAGTGAGGTGAAAATACAGTGATTAAGTAAAAATGTTTAGCTAATATTTACTTCTATCAGCAGACATGTCTGCTGAGCAATTCTTCTTTATGATAAATACCATGCGGCGGGTTTACATTTTCTAATGTTTTCTTATTTTGTTCAGCACTTTGAATTGCCTTGTGTATGAATTGTGCTAGATAAATAAACTTGCCTTGCCTTGCCTAAATAATTGTTTAACTATCAACCAATCATACTAAAGTCAATTGAATTAAAGGTTGTTATTTTTGATATTATTGATGTTTTTCAATCATATCATTGGTCATGTGAAGTCTCTCCGGTCTACACTATGGCCAGCTGCATGTCTTTGCTTTTTGTTTTTTTCTCTCTGCAGCTGCACCTGTTGTGTGCCGTCACTCCGCCTGACTTCTTCTGTGCACTGAAACAAGAGGCTGTGACAAAGACTTGCAGAAAACCCACTACCCAGGGGAGTTCCAGGGCAGGTAGGCCTCATTTTGGTTCTATGGTCATACATTTTGGTTCATTATGAAATTATGACATAGTGGATATTAGTCGGCTTGAATCTCACTTATTCTCTTTGTGTTTATGACTTCAACATCCATCCATCTGCTGGATATGATTCTTCTATTTATAGCTCTGCGACGGCATTTGCTCCGTGGTTGTTTAGAAATGCCATGGAAGGCATAAAGGGCTATAAAAACCTTCTTAAATACACAAATATGCAGCAAGGGTTGGAAAGATAAGATCAGACATTTGACTATGAAGTTGCAAACACAGTTAAGGTTGTGAGGCCAAGTTAGCTGAATATCATAACTTCTAAATAAGAAAAATACTGTGGAGGAAAACGGTTCACTCAAGAATACATAATTTTGTTTGCTTAGACATAAATTGTAAAATAGGCAAAAAGGACTGACTGGGAATGAACTAACACTTCAATCCTTAAAATTGAACATCTTGAAATATTTTAATTAGGGAATGAGGGAGATTTCCAGTAGTTTTCACACTTTGCTGATGCAGTGTTGCACCACGAGGACCTTAAAGCAGAATGTTGTCACATTGTTCACAGATCACATGATTTATCAAAATAGTATAGTAACATTTATTTTTATCATTATCTATAATTTCTTATTCCTATAACTTTGCTCTATAAATAAAGTTTACTTACAAAATAAGTGGTTCTCAAACTTTTGACACCACCTAAAAAGGTCCCTCAAGTACCAAACTGTTTGCAAAGAGGACAGCATGAAGGAATAAAATGACTCTAAAATAAATGAACTCCGCAGCGACTCAAATACTAATTTATATCACTTTGGAAAATGTACATAGCATAGACCCTTACAATACATTTAGATTAGTAAGCAGGTGTCATACTCAAGTCTTAAGCTTAGAAGATGTTGAGACAATATAAAAAGTCTCATTTAAACAAAGAACTATGTTTATGTTTTAAAGCAAAGTCTGGATATGGAAGAAAGCTTTGAGACATTTGAAGAAGATTTAGGGCCACACAGACCAGATTCACCCCCACAAAGGCCAAGTCGACCAATTCGCAGACCAGGTGGCACTGGCACACACGCACACTACAAGCCCAGTTAAAATATTGTTAAAAGGGTAAAACAATAGAAAGGATATGTTTGACAAAGACAGGCTTGGATATGTGCCCAAACACATAATGGCAGCAAATAAATCAGATTAGAACCAGAATTATGTTTGTAAAAGATATAAATGGCTTATGTATAAGGCTCCCATCTGTCTGTTTGCAGAAATATATGCTACTCGAAAACTGGAGGAGGTTAGTTGGAAGAAAACCGACATTATAAATATTAAATGAATGCAAAATATTGAAGTATATTTTGTTGTTGATAAATGTTCACCAGGAAATGGCTTCAGTACCTTTGCAAATAAAAGCAGAGCCCAATGTTATGGCCAGAGAGACAAGTTTCAGTAGATCAAGTAAGTAATTTAACTTTCCCTCTTGCTTCATGTGGATGGAAACATTTATTAATGAGTTTCTTTTCCAGCATCAGTGCCACAACATGTGTCCTACCAGAATGAAAGTCCAACAGAAGTCCCTTGGGAGAGTGTGACGCTGAACCGCTGTCTATTCATAGCAATTACAATCCTTGTGCTCACCTCTGGATTTCAAAGACTTCATGGTAATATAAAAGAGGAGAATGAATGCTTGCTTTGTTTATACAACATTTTTATTCTGCATTTGCACGTAGAAGCTTTGCATGGCCAGAAAGCACCCCTTGATGAGGATGAAAGGCAAATTATGAGAAGATATGGAGCACTCAGACATCGGACAGAGGTAAATTAAATGTTTGTAAGACAATGTACAGTTTAATAACCCTAACTTTCTATGACTATAGCCTGAGACAACCTTATGGGAGGTAATGTTATCCTGGCTGCCAGACCTTGATGATGAGGATGAAGTAAAATTAAGGAAACGGAAACCAAAGAAACGAAGAGTTGTAAAAACGTTGAGTAATCTTCGGAACCGACCACTCCCTGATAAATTATTAAGACAAAAAGAGCAAAATTCAAGCTAAGAAATATGTGAGATAATAAATGGGCGATTGGGAGAAAAGCTCAATGACAGAGTCAATGGAGTCAAAGTGATACACAGCAAAGGTTTCTGAAGGAAATGGGAGCAGTGTAATAATATGCTATTCAATTAGCAATTCATATCATGCAAAAATCTGTCTTATTGGAAAGTGTATTACGAGGACCCAGTAATCATAAACCATGTTAGCTGTATTATTGTTAATTTCTGTGATTGAGTGTTCCATAAATGAAACCAAACCCAAACTATTTACATGAGGATTTCTGGATGTAAAATAAACTTGTTTTCTCTAAAAAGTGTATTTTACTGGAAGCAGTAACCGGATACTCTTGTTTGTACACACATCAAAATATGATATTCTGACACAAACATGTCTGCACACTTTTTATTACAAAAGATTACAAACACTTTTGTTAACCTTTTATACAGAATGTAATCATTTGAACAACCAAAAACTTTGCCTTTAGGGAAAAACAGAAATATAAAAATCATCATTAACACATGTTAAAAAGCCAGAAGTTATAGGCCATCTGGGGGTGGTGGCCTCATGGGCATTGGTGGCATGGCCATTTGTGGGGGCATCTGAGGTGCGCCGGGCGTCCCTGGGGGCAGTGGAGGAATGGTCATACCTCCAGGTGGGGGAGGAGGAAGGCCATCACTAGGTTGGTGCTGACCACCCATCAGAGGAGGGGGGCGTTTCACTCCACCAGGGGGAGGTGGCCCAGACTGAGCAATGGGCTTCTCCATTTTGAAGTGAAACTGAAGAAAAAACTAAAAAAAGGATATGTTGTCAGTTCAAGCAAGATTTTAAAAAGGAGCCCGCACTCTTTGTGTACCTGCTTTGTTTCCTTGTTCCAGTGTGTCCAGAAGCGATTTTCTGCTTTATCAATTTCCCGGCTTGGTACCTGGGCAGTGTTAAACATTCATTACAATATATAGCTGCCAACGAAGGAATGACATAGTATGAAGTTTCTGGAATTCTTCATTACCCAATTTTAATAGAGGACACGTGCACATACCAGGGCTCTATACTAACATTTTTAAGCGTCTCAAAAAGTCCTTGATGTTTGTTTCTATGTATTATATCTCTTTAAATAATTACATATTGTGGACAACGAGACAGTATGTGACATTACATTCATGTGGATGCGCAAATTTGTCTTGATTTAAAAACACTTTGTAGTTAAGAGTGAATACCTTAAACGATATGGTTTCATAAGGCTCGGCCGCCATAAGCAAGTACTGCCAACGACGGTCAGGTGGCTCAATGCGCTGCTCATAAGCAGACATGAAACGATGTCGGGGTCCAATGCCTTCTGCGATTTCTGGGTAATCAATCTGGAATAATAATAATAATTTTTAAAAAATGATATATGTATGTAAGTGTAAGTATATATATATATATATATATATATATATACATATATATACATATATACATATATATATATCACACACAAAGATTGTTCCTTAAAATAAATAAAAATTAAAATAAGCAAACCTGGAAAAGTAATGACTGTTGTCCTGTTTCTGAGTCTCTTTGTTTGGTTACTGAAATAATACAAATTAAATTATAATTTTAGGAGTAAGAAAAATGACAAAGCATAAAGACACAAGGTATACCTTTATATCCAGGCCTCCCAATTTTAACAAACTTTTTGACCTCAACTTTAACCTTTGCTGGTGCTGGTTGCGCAGGAGCATCTTTGGCTTCTTTAGCAGCTCTTCGGGCTCTTCAAGAAAAAAAAAGTCAATAAACAATGAAGAAATTCAAAACGTTAAATGAAAAAATACTTACAAATTTGTCTGATGTTTTTTGCCTTGAGTGTGAGCCAAATAGCTGCCCTGTTGAATAGAAATTTGCCACGGATTAAGGAATTAAATACATATTAAAATTTAAAGAATGTACAAACATTTGAAAACAAAATAATACCTCGTTATTGTGCAATGTCAAGCAAAGTTTACACTCGTATGACCCCAAATGATTTTTCATAAAGTATGGATCCTTATTTATGTCAATTGTTTCTAGAGCCAACTGACGCAGTCGCTCTCGCCTGTCGCGGTTACTTTCAGAAGCAGAGGCCACGCCTCCACTCCCGGTTTTCCCACCCGCTCGATGCTGAAAATCCATTTTGCTTGCTTAAAACACCGTGTCTCTGATAGATTTATAACTGAAAGACAAAAATGACACAATCAAACAAAACATTTGTGATGCTTTTTTTACAACTTCAGCGGCATAAGCCATATCTAAATAATTGTTTTCTACTTTGAATTTAAATTGTAATAAACAGTTGACTAGCCATGAAACACTTTATATTCAAAGCACAAAGCAGTGTAAGACCCTTTAGGCATTTTATTATTCATTATCATTCTATCGCTGCTCTGAAAGGTTTCCTGGATTCAAAATGTACATAAAGACAAAGAGTATTCTTACAAACTAATTTATTGCATGGCTAAACAATAGAACCGCAGATCTTTGTACAGTCTGCATTATTAAATTGCCAACATCCAGTAACCTTTAAAATGTGAAATGTAAAGACATAGAATACAGCTTTCTTTCATTAGAGTTTGTTTTGTAGAAGATAAAGCAACGTTACTCCCATAGTGCACCAGAGCATTTCAGCTAACGACATTCATTGGATTTGAAGAATGGAGTTTTTAAATTATCATTAGCAAACTCACAGGACCATTCACAGACTACGCTCACTTCGGTTTTGGGCAGATAAAGGCAAAAGGTAACGTAAGCTGTATCCGATAGAACGAATTCTTTAGAAACTCACCAAAATCCAAACAATAAACTGTATATCCAAACAGTCTATAAACGCACAGATCACGCTAGCATTGAGTGCGAGTACCATGCGCATGCGCGCTCTTCTTCTTTGAATGTGTACAACGCTTGAAACAAATTAGCGCCATCTGTTGGTCAATGAAGTTTTTGAAGTTTACTTTAATACAGTATCACTACCATATAAATGTATCCATAAAAGACAGTGACAACATTTGTTCTGAATAAACAAAGCACATTTTATTGTAGCGTTATAGTACTATAGATTTAAAGCGAAAAATAAAGAATCGTTTTTCCTTTTTGAGCCTCGTGACTTACCTTACTGATAACAACAGGGAGAGGCGTGTCATCATCACATTGAGGTGAAGGAGTATCGCGAAGCGAAAAAAGCCACTCAAAAAATACATTGTTGTGTTTTAAATATAGCCGCGGTGGAGAAGTATTCATTTGGAAACGTCCATCCAATGTTAGTATTTGATGAATGTACAGAGTTTGTTGACCATCGTGAAGCGGTAGTAGAGCTGTTGAGGACTAGTATAGCTAGTTAAATTATATGTGCGTCCATAATGCGTTTCAATGAAAAAGAGCTGGTTTCCTTGAGTCGCCAGCCATCTGAAATGGCAGCTGAGTTGGGAATGCGAGGACCCAAAAAAGGAGACGGTGTGTTTTCTATTTTATACATATATTAATATTATTCTTTCACTTCCGTTTAATGTCATTGCATGATTCTGGTGACAACCATATATGTCTAACATTGTACGTTGCACAGTATGCTGATTTTTGTTTGTTTGATCTAATAGTTGTAAAAAGGAGGCTAGTGAAACTCGTCGTTAATTTTCTCTTCTACTTTCGGACGGATGAGGAGGAGGTGAGAGACTGACGGCTGATTAAACATGCACTTAGGAAGCAGTGCTTGCCTCCATGGAGATGTTTCTGCTTTATTTTTCACGTTGTGGCATAAACGTGCTTGAATTAGTGGGGGTGGTCAGAGAGAATGCCACTTTCGTCACTTTACCCCAGGGCAGTTGTGGCTATATACATCCGGATCCAGTATTTCCCCAGGGCTATCAAACAGTGTATGATTAGTCTTGATCCCAGGTCAGTGGCTACATATATAGTCGCTTACAACCAGTGAACATATTTGGCTGAGGGACTTGCCTTAATTATTTAACTTCGGTAAAACAAAAGAAATACAAACTTTTAAAGAGATCTGTGGCCAAAAATACGTTTGTAGACACCAATCATGGAGCTGAAGAGTAATTGAAAAATAATTTTAACTTTCTTCTGTAGCTGAGATTCACACTTGCATTTAATGACATAATCTACAAAGTCACGATCCATTTTTGAAGACGCAAAAGGTCAGATTTGGGTTTAGGAGAAAATAGTTAAGGTAAAAAGTAAGACAAATAGTCAAGTTTAGTACCAGAAAAAACAACAGTACTACAGTAACATTTACCTCTGCCACTGCCAGTGAGTGACGAGCGAATAAAATTAGAACATAATTGTAAAGTGGCTTTGTGACTATATCTGTGAAAATTGCAGTATACCTTATCTTATTTTCACTTAGCATATTTGTACATGATCCGTGATGGCGTTATAACAAGTTTAGTAGTAAGTAAGTAAGTAAGTATTTATTTATATACCGCCTTTTCACTGCAGATCTGAGTCTCAAAGCGGTTTACAATTGTTAATTTTTGGGCATTTGTCTCTCACTCCACACAGAGATGGGAGCGGGGTCGCCAGTACAGGAGGCGCATGCTAGAACTATTGGACATATTTTTAGTGGTAGGGGAAACCGGAGTACCCGGAGGAAACCTACGCAGACACGGGGAGAACATGCAAACTCCACTCAGAAAGGCCCTGGTCCGACCGGGATTCGAACCCAGGACCTTCTTGCTGAGAGGCGAGAGTGCTATCCACTCAGCCACCGTGCCTGAGTGGATAGCACTCGTGCTGTACTGGAGCAGTAGGTGTCGGACCCCTTACCCGACAAGATGTATAGGGCACCTGCACCGTAACTGTCACCCACGTTTTTGAAACGTGGGTGAAGAGCTATTTCAAAAGTTGTTGATGAAGGGCTACCTGCATGTTGCACATTTCTGAAATGACAGGGTTTATTTGTAATTATAAGTCATTATTACTGTCCTAAGAATATCTATACATCTATGTTGATATGCTATGCCTAATCGAACATTTATTGCTCACAAGTATTAATCTAAATGCATTCAATAAAGACTTCCTGTTTATGTCACTTTTATGACATGCAAAGCAAATGTCTCTCCACATCGCTCTGTTAGTCGCCTTGTAAATGACAAATAAATACCCCTGTTCACAGAATATAAATATTTATATATTTTTCAGCCAATAGGAGCGTTGCTCTTGGAACAATGTAGAGTGGAGAGAGAAGACAACTTGACCTTCTCAATAAGTAAGTGTTGGGCCTATTCATACATCTTCTGGTTGGAATAGTTTTTGAATGTATTATTTTTTGTAGTTTTTCTTGACGAAGCAGAGCGAAAGTATCAGTTTGAATGTGATTCAGAGGAGCAATGTGGGGAGTGGATTGACTCAATTATCAAGGCCAGGTATGTCTTAGTTAATTTCTTCAAAAATGTAGGCTAATAGGCCTGTAGGCATGTTTCAAGAACATATGGTTCAACTTTCGTTCAGTTTACGTTCACTTTTAAGTTCCCCAAAGAGAATGAATTTCAACACAGAACTATAGTAATGTCACAATATTACACAACCACATTGGCTTGAAATAATAATAATCAGTGCAGTTCAAATAAAGTGCTACCAATACATTGCACAAGCCCATCTAAAGACTTTATATGTATTCTTTGAAAATATATATTCACACAAGTGAATGTCTTATACACATCTGTGTTTTAAAACTTTTTTGCTCTTGTTTGCACCATATGCCAAAGAAAATCCCTCGTTTGAGACTTACAATGGCAATACAAAAAATTCTGATTCTGATTGATGTCTTGCAGATGCTTGAACACAAGTATCTGTGCATAGTTTGGTCTTCTGTTTTGGATTATAATCCTAAAAGCAAAAAAGATATAAAATTACAATTGACAAGGCAGAATATGCATTTAATTTTATTTTTTGTTTATATTTTTGCTGAACATTACCTGCTTGTTTGCTGTTGCTGGTTTTGAGGCTCTGTTTTCGGGCCGATCATAAATAATTGCATAACTCTATTATGTAATGACCTAATGTTAAAATACCAAGACCTGTTAATTGCTGTTGTTGTTCTTTCAGTTATGAGTTCATGAGGAAGAATATTATATTTTATAGAACTGAAATTCACAAGCTTACTGGCAAGGTGAGTACAGTATATGATGTTCCTTTTTGAGCTAGTTGTGAATAGGGGTAGGAACCTCAGGGTACCTCACGATACGATACAATGTGCGATACAAAGCTCACAATAACGATTATCTCACGATATGACGATGCAGCAATTAGTGAAATCAGTGAAAAAATACAATTTATTTCAAGAAAAATGTATAAAGTGTCATGTGTAACATTAAAGTGAACAAGCAAAAATGCCTTTTAACCTGCACATTTTTGTAAAAATCTTACTTAATCTGTCTTACATCCAATAAAATCAATATGAAAATTCTACAGAAATTGTAGAATGCGTAATGTAGTCATATATTAAGTATCCATACTTATTTTATTTTCAAATAAAGCTTAAAAAAAAAATTTGAACAAAAATAAAAATGTATACTTAGCAAAAGCATATCAATAATCGATTGAGTGGGAAAGTATCACGATACATCACAATATCAATATATTGTTACCCTCCTAGTTGTGAATGTATGTGGCCGAAGCCTGGTTAAATTAATTGAGGCATACAGTATACACAAATGACGCTCATTTGTATAGTGAAAGTTCTCTTTTAATGCAAAAAAACCACCTGTGGATTAGAATAGAAGAGCACCCTTTTCTCTCCCCAAATCTGTTTGTGTGTGTTTTACCTCCAGTATGTGGGGAAAGTGAGGGACATGTGGGAGGAGTAGTTCACAGTGCGTTGGGCCTGTATGTCAGAGCAAGTTATTATTTAATCACCCAATGATCTGATTATTATAAAGTCAACACACACACACAGTAAATGTTTATAATATATTTATCATAATTGATAATATTATTTTTACGTATAGTGAACTTACAAATGTATTTTTTCTCCCAAGGACCCTTTGGAACAGTATGGCATATCAGATGAAACTCGCTTTCAAGTGAGTAATGGCTTTCAGCTTAAGGCGAGGGAAACATCCTCTCTGTAGACACCAGAGCCGGTCTATTTAAGTCTTTACATTGTAGAAAATATTCTTTCTGAAAAATGTACTTCTAAATGTTTGTTTGTCTGGCACAGAAAATTAATTCTCATGTTTATGCTAAGCCCATGCCTATGACTTGAGTCATATTTAACCTTTTCCCTAAATGTGGAGATTTTCTCCTCATATTTGAGCTGAGCCACATTCTGAATTTGTATTTTCTTTAGATTGTTTTGACCTAATATATTTTGTAACATATTTATCATGAATGTAAAACTCTTTAATTTTATATTCTGTCTATCACTGACTGCATTTCTTGCATATTTGCTTAACTTTGTTTTTTATAAGCAAAGTATACGACCTAATGTTTAATTTTTTAAATGTTTGCACATATTGTCAGACTTTCATTTTATTGTAGTTCTGGTTTGATTCACTGGAACCTCAAAGTGTTTTTTTTTTTCTTTTGCAAATAAAGTACTTTTTATCCATATATTTTAGCAATTTCATTTTGATGTACATTAAAAATTAAAATAGCTTTCTGAATATAGTCTATGAATATAGCCCTGACGTAGGTCTGTCAATAGCTGCTTCTGGAGGACAGTGTGAGTGTGTCTCATTTGTATTTCCTTAGTTTGTATTTTATAGATCCATGGGCACCTCTCTTCAATTACACAATTTTCGTCACGAAAAGGTGAACTTACTAAATTTAGTATAAGAGGGTCAGCGAAAGAATTGGGCGAGAAGAGGAGGAAATACAAAGGACTGTAATTCTCGAACTCTCCAGAGGTGGTAGCAAAACGCTGCAATTTATTTGTTAAATCAATGCATTTTGCCATTTACCCTGTGATTTTTGGACCACACTTATGGACAGAGGGGTTTAAAAAGTCCCCAGTTAGGAAAACCACAAACAACCTGATCCCAGCTCAGAGTACAGTCCCCATGAAACTACACATTGTTTTCAGTATGTAAGGTAAAGAAAACATCTCAGCCTCATTCTTCAGGTAAATTTCTGTGTGGTTATAGGTGGAGGGGACCAGCCTTGCTCAGCCAATCAGCAATGATATATATATAAAAAAAAATGTTTTCAGCATTCTGTCTTTTTAGCTACCTACTAACAAGTAGGTTGCACAATATTGGACCATAATGTGGTCGTTTCGGGGTTGGTAGCTCTAATTCACATTAAATTAACGTACCTGGTTTTCCCACGAGAAATGCTTTCAAAACATTGATTTTATTTGACACTTTTCTTAGCAATAGTTGTGATTCAAAATCTGTGACGTCACATCTTCCCGTGGTGCTTTGCGGACGCAAATGAAGTCCAGAGGTAAAAGATCACAAACTGTTGTTTAATCGACAAAAACACGGCTCATTTTGATGCTCAGAAGAAGATTATTCGTGGACAAGAATATCTGAAACCACGCCACAGAGAGAGCGTAGTCACGGGCACGGTACGATGAAACATGGCAGTCGCATTTGAACAATGTTGCTAACAAGCCTTAGCTGGGCGGCTATACAATGTAAATACAACGTTAGCATGTGTTAGCTTTGTTTGTCCCCTGGCTGCAATGTTTTCTAATACAATCGCACCATAGTATTTCCAAAGAGGTTATATCTTTCTCTTGTTCATTCTCGTTAAAACGAAGATAAAACCCCATTCTAATCTCTAAAGCTGTCGTCAAACGTCATTAAAATAAAAACATAATACCAACCGTAAATTAATATAACGACTGTCTGGAAATAACATTCACAAACTTACTGTGCTTTGGTGTCGGAGATGAGATGCAACATTATAAAAGCTTATTATAGCGAAATATGTTAAAAGGACCACGCAGAATGGTACCGTGGAATTCTGCGAACATTGTAGCTCCAGAACGAGTTACTATTTCTAATATGTGTGTCTTTCAGCATTGTGATGGTAAGATACTTTATCTAATTATATTGCTTTTTTCCTAGCTGCCATGGATCAAGACTATGAGAGCAGACTGCTAAGGCAGATCAACATCCAAAATGAGAATGCCAGCCCTGTTGTAAGTAAAATTTCCCAGGGTTCTATTTGCTATATAAGCGCCATTTATCTTATCATTGCACACAGTATCATCCACTGCTAACTCAGCATGTATGTTACTAGTGTTCATTGGGCCAAGTATTTCAGTGCCTGTAATTTAAACTTAAAACAAAAGGATCCCTGTCTGTTTTCTTGCTTTTCCTAAAAAGCTTCTTTTTATGATTATGTGTAGAAAGTTGTGCGAGCTTTGACACCCACCAGCTCCCCACTGTCTTCACCAAGCAAGCATGGTGATCGGTTCATTCCCTCCCGGGCAGGAGCCAACTGGAGTGTCAACTTTCACCGCATCAATGTGAGTATGGTGTAAGACTGGAAGGACATAGCAGAATGAACATTATCAAATGCTAGTGGGTTGTGACACCAAATGTGAAAACACATTCTGTGATTTAACAACAAAAAAAACTCCCACAAAATGTTCTAGAATGTTTTTCATATTGTTAAATGTATTCCACAGGAAATTGAGAAGTCACACAATCAAAACAGAAAAACCAAAGATGGCACAACTGACAGCAGCAAAGGTATTAGCTTAATTTTTCATGTTTTATTTCCAGGCAAATGCATTATTGCTCTAAAATCACTCCATGCGTTTACATTTGATGCTAAAAAAGATGCTCTAGATCAGCGATCTTCAACATTTTTAGAACCACAGACCGGTTTAACGTCAGACAATAATCACACGGACCGGCACCCAAAGGCACCCCCCGAAAGCAAACAAGCAATATTAAATTAATAAGAAGCACAGTGCTGTAGTTTGTACACAACACCATGATGCACACGTGCACAATACGTAACTTTCTTCACGCTGATAGAAAGTTTCTGTCTTGCACTGTCTTGGTCCTGACTCCTGGTCATCATGGTTTCAGTTTAAATCCATTCTCGCTCTTGTATCTTGTTAAAGCTCCCACAGACTCCTCATTCCTCCACACATCATTCTCATTACACTGTGTTTGTAAAGCTTCATTACGAGTCTGTGCAGTGGGAGCCTCTTCACAACGCGGACAATTGTTTACATTTCAGCGCTACCTAGGGCTGGGCGATTAATCGATTTTAATCATTAATTCGAGTTTTACGTTTAGGGCGATTTCTTTTTTTAAAAATTCGATTTTTATTTTCTCCAGCGCAGAACTACAGCGCTAACGCGCTAACCGCGGGTCTATGGTGTTGAGCAGTCATTTTGAAGCTAACCTAATGCTAACAGTCTCCCTCTGGCCTGATGCTCGCTCTCACAGTTGGTGCTGTTGCAATAACACTTCAAACGTTCAAGAATCAGACTTTATTTAATCGCCAGAACACACACACACACGCACGCAAGCCCCGGTCGCTATGTTCGTACGCCATGTTCGTACGCCACATCTTTCACGCTCTCTCACGCTCGTTATTCCAAAGCGCACTACCGTGTCCGTGGCGCGCACACACTCGTGTCCCACTGAGCCGCTGCACTTTGGGGAAAGACACGTCTCACACATTGCTCTCATTGCTCTGATACAAACAACGTGTTCCCCGCTGTCTGTTAGCTACAGCAGCTGCTACAGTAGCTGTTAGCTACAGCATCAGAATGTAAACAGGAAGCTCGCACAATGCGGGAGTCACTGAAGTTAGTATTAGCGTCACCAGCTGGACCGAGCGTTGTACTACAGCACAGTTACTCAGGCACAGTTGAAAGAACAAGCATGAAAACCCGAGGAGGCTTTTGGAAAAGACTGTTTGTTACAACATTTCTACTTTGAGTAATCAGTTTTAAAAATGTGATATTTCATGTAAATAATGCATGTGTTTAATAGGATTGATATATTTGCGATGGGCCTTGTTTGTGTGATTTAAGTTATTTTGAAGGTGCATAGTGTCATTGTAAGTGAAGTTATTATAAAAATGTTAAGCTACATTTTCACTGTTTACAATGGCAGCGCCATCTCGTTTACAAGCATGTTTTAAGGCTTAATTCCTGTTACACTTATGCTCCATGGGGATTTAGATTAAACTGCATAAAGGAAAATCTATTTCTTTGTCAGTTGTAGTTTGTTTTTAAATAAAAAAAAATAAATCGATTAAAATCGAAAATCGGATTTGGTGTGAAAAAATCGGAGATTTTTTTTTTTTGCCATATCGCCCAGCCCTAGCGCTACCATGTCACTTTACCAAGACATAAGGAGAGAATCCGGTTATTTTTCAAAATACAGGATTGTTTGAACTTGGATGTTAAATACGGAAATGATTTATTCTTTCCTCGGTTTTAATGTCCCACGGGCCAGTACAGGTCAGCGTTGGGGACCACTGCTCTAGATCATTGTAGAATTGAAAAAGTCATCTCGATCTCAATTCATTTGAGCCATAGGGTTGGGGCTGTTTGTTTTCCTCATGTATTCACGCAAAAGAATTAATACTAAATCTGTTAAATAGCAGCTTCATATTCCTGTGATCATTCATTCATTCAGTTTTGTTTTTGTTTTGTTTTTTTCAGCTGATGGTCTGGCTTACTCAGCTCTACTCAAAAATGAGCTGCTCGGAGCTGGTATAGAAAAAGTTCAAGACCCCCAGTCAGAAGATCGACGTCTGCTCCCATCTAGTCCTGCCAAAAGAAGTCTTTTTAGTGTAAGTACATATTAGCACAACTAGGGCTGTCAAAATTATTGCGTTAACGCACATTAATTAATTTTTGTCATTTATTGCGTTAAAATAGTTTACGCAATTAACGCATGCCCATGTATCCCATAATAACACTCAGAAGGCCGCGAACACATGCGTGTGTGAGTGAGATGGTGACAAAGCAGGTAGGCCCTCTGGGAGTCCAAGTTTGAAAAGAATACGCACGTGGCCGCAGAGCACTGCTGCTGTTTCCTGTATGAGCTGAGCTGCGGGCGCTCTGGACAGCAGTTCCCACCTCCAGCGGCTGTGATCACGGCGAGCGGCGCCGTCGCAACTTGATCATATCCAAGACCATACACGCACAGAACTATTCTCTGCTTGTAATGTGCGTGTCTTTGCGTAACCGGTGCATACAATAAATACAGCGCTGAAGCTGGACTATGGAGCTTGGTCTCCTCCGTGTCTTCTCCCGAAGCGCACTTGCTAAATTAAAGCGGGGGTACCTAATTTTCCCTTCCACTACCAGTTCATGTTGGTTGTGCCCAAAAGTAATGGTGTGAGCAAATCAAGCAGATTTTATGACATTCTGCTTTGGACTGTTTTGAAATGTCCCTCATCTGTAACAAACAATAGTTTTGGTCTGAGTCTAAATAGAAAGACAGAATGTTAATAATGTTAATGCCATTTTATATGGATTTATTGTATAATAAACAAATACAGTACATGTGTACACTATGCTGTCATTTATCTTTCCATTCGAACAACCATTTACAGAAAAATATGGCATAATTTTGTTGATAGTTCGAAATGCGATTAATGAATTTTTAAGCTGTAATTAACTCGATGAAAAAAAATTGTCGTTTGACAGCCCTAAGCACAACATATTAACATTTCATAATAGGGCTGCACGATTTTTTTGGAATATCTCATTGTGATTTTTCAGATAAAGATTGCAATTTATTTTGGATAATATTCAAAGTTCACATAGTTATCATTTCAGTCAAGTAAGTTAAAGTAAGTGAATTATCACCCAAATTAGGAGATACAACTTAATAATATATTTTTTTTAAGTTTGTATTTCTAGACATGATTATGAGTTCTATATTATTCAACATTATTTTCTTAAATAATGAAATGTCAGACAAAAAAGGCAGTCTTTGCATTTTCAGTGGATGCAAGAGAAATTGCAATTTTTTATTTAGATTGCGATTTATGTAATATTGTTGTAATATTTTTTGTAATATAACTATGCTGTGCTGGTTGTTTTATTGATCTGTGAAATGTTCTCTTTAGTATTCTGTAAGTACAAAAAGGGCTTTGTCTGAAGAAGATGGAAACACCGTTTCTCCATATTCTCTCTCGCCAGTCAGTAGCAACAGGTAGAGGATTATTATAATCATCATAATTTTAGAAGATTAAGCCCCATAGTGCAACCGTTAAAATATATGTTTGTTCTTGTAGTCAGAAACTGTTGCGGTCACCAAGGAAACCTACGCGAAAAATTTCCAAAATCCCGTTCAAAGTTCTGGATGCGCCTGAACTTCAAGATGATTTCTACCTCAATCTCGTGGACTGGTCTTCTCTGAATGTGCTGAGTGTCGGTTTAGGTACCTGTGTTTATCTGTGGAGCGCCTGCACCAGTCAGGTTTGTCTACAGTTTATTCATATTTATACAGGCTTGTTTTTGTCTAGTCATTTACTATTTTTTGGGGGGGGTGATTCCAGGTGACCCGTCTTTGTGATCTTTCTGTGGAAGGGGATTCGGTGACATCAGTTGGCTGGTCTGAAAGGGTATATTTCTTTACAAAGACTTTTCCATTTTGCTCTTTGCGCGGAATTGTCAATATTTGTCTTTGTGCAAGTGAAATTCTTAATATCATACATTTCATTTTCTCTGACTCAAGGGCAATCTGGTCGCAGTTGGTACACATAAAGGTTATGTGCAGATCTGGGATGCTGCAGCGGGGAAGAAGTTGTCCGTACTTGAAGGACACACTGCGAGAGTTGGTGAGTGAGGTTGAAGATGGTGTGCATAAATTAGTACTTTATATAGAGTTTTATAAAAAAAAATTTTTTACCAGGTGCACTGGCATGGAATGCAGACCAGTTATCGTCGGGAAGTCGTGATCGAGTGATTTTACAGAGAGACATTCGAGCTCCACCTCTTCAATCAGAGCGACGCCTCCAAGGACATAGGCAGGAAGTGTGTGGGCTCAAGTGGAGCACTGACCATCAGCTTCTCGCTTCCGGTGGAAATGACAACAAGGTGAACAAGCTTAACACGCATAAGCAAATAGGGTCAAAAAACAATCTTTTAAAATGTAATTTTTCCTTCATCGATAGAAGCCAATTTATAGTTCCTTTGTTCACATGTTGGAGGCTTGAGTGTATAATTTTCACAAAATCCAGTATGAAAGCGGGCTCAGGGCCACATAGGCTTTATCTGCTCTGGTAGAGGGCTAGAGCTAAGTCGCAGATCCACAATAAACATACACTTTGCATTTCCACACAACACGCAGCAACGCATTCTAGAAACTCATTCTGAAATGTTTCTGACCTAAGGTGGACGAAATCTTTCTGCGGCACCACACTGTGTGCATGTAAAGGCAAAGCTCTCGACACTCAAAATGCAGGAGCCAAAAGTCCCACGCTGTTGTCTCATATCTGCAGCCACAACTTAGATTTTCCTTGTTCTGGCGACAAGAGGCACAAGCTAAGGTGCCTCATTGTCGCCTTTTTAAATACAGTATCGATACCCTTCCCTACCACTAGGGGTGAAGTGGTTTAATCCCTAGTGATAGTGGCTTTTAACCCTCTCCAAATTAACCTATGTTTTTTTTAAGTTAGGAGCTGTACCTCCTTCCAACCTTTACTCTGTCATGATTATGCATCACTGTACTTCACTACATTCTAACTCTGAGTTTTTAAAAATGCTGCATTTTCAATAGGACTGCAACGATTAGTCTACTATTCGTCAACAGCAATTTTTATTGTTGATGCCTCATCTAATTCCTTTTTGGAGGAATACACCGATACAACCACTGTTTATCAACACAGCATGGCCCAGTTCTGTCCTGTCTGTTTGACCTTGAAATTCCCGCAAACATAGCTGGCTCTTTCTTTTTTTTCTAAAGTGAACCTACACTTTTTAAAATTACTTTTATTAAATTAATTCATACATAATTTTCTGTATATTGCAATGAGATTAAACATCTACATTATTTATTTTAGCTTTTATTTTTTTATTCATTTTCTAAATGTGTATGTGTGGTACGCACTACACAAATATTATATAGGCCCACATACAAATGTGTGTGTATTATAATATACAATATATATACAGTGCAGTATTTATTTATATAGAAATTAGTTGACTAATAAAAAAAATAATCTTTGACAGCCCTATTTTTCAAACATAAAACCCTCAGTTTAAAAATGTGCTTAGGACTCATCGTAATCCAATTTTATAAGGCAGGTCTTCTCTGTTGGGAATGGAAAGTCAATGGACCAACCTTTTTGTTTTTTACTTGTAGCTGCTTGTGTGGAATCACTCAAGTGTCCTACCCGTACAGCAGTACACAGAGCACTTGGCTGCAGTTAAAGCTATTGCATGGTCTCCACATCAACATGGGCTGCTGGCCTCCGGAGGGGGCACGGCAGACCGCTGCATTCGCTTCTGGAACACACTGACTGGACAGCCGCTTCAGTGCACTGACACTGGCTCCCAAGTTTGCAATCTGGCCTGGTCCAAGCATACTAATGAACTGGTGGGTCTCGTACTATTCTTTGAATTAAATATGTTCATGTAATCACTGCATTGATTTTATATCTAATATTTGTGAAATATCTCTGCCCTTCTGCAGGTTAGCACGCATGGATATTCACAAAACCAGATTTTGGTGTGGAAATATCCTTCTCTTACTCAAGTAGCCAAACTAACTGGCCATTCATACAGAGTACTCTACCTGGTGAGTACTGTTTCATTGTAGTTATGAGGTATTTTTCTGTATTCATGTTGAGGGCCCTATTTAATAATGTAAACCAAACAAAAACTATATGCACAGGCCATGTCCCCTGACGGCGAAGCAATTGTGACCGGAGCTGGAGATGAAACTCTTCGATTTTGGAATGTTTTTAGTAAAATGAGATCAACAAAGGTATTTGCTGCCTTTTAGTGAGTTGAAGTGTGTCTTTATTGTAGTAAATGGTCATCTTTCTTTTCGTCTTTCAGGAGTCTGTGTCTGTGTTGAATCTCTTCACCAGGATTCGGTAGTGAGCAGGCTGAGCTCCGAGCCTGATGTGGACAGTGATGGGGCTTCTTCCAGTAGTTTGTCAGTGTTGAGCCAAACAGTGTTCCACATCAACGATCGAGCCACTTTTCACAGTGGCCTCGCTGGAAGAAAGCCACCATATGTTTCATGTTTACAGACTGATGTTGTGCATATCTGCCAAATATCACGTTTGTCATTTGATTGTCTATTTATTTTATATGTTTATTATTTTAACATAATCTAGTGCGTTTAAGTTTGTTAGACTTGCTTTCTGAATGTGGAGTATGGTTTTCAAAAGAATCATAAATTGCTAAAGCCGTGTTTTGTTACATTAATATTTTCTGTAAACAGCTGAAACAAACGTCTACAAGGAAGCTGCCAATATGTAGAAGATAAAAGACCTGATATATGGAACAATTATTTTATGCAAGTATTAACCAATGTATGAGTGGAAGATCCATAAAGTAATTTTAAAACAGATATGGGCATTTCATTTGTGCAGTTTTTATTCCATAAGGAGAGTCACACTGTACACCAACTGCAATGGACAATACTACATGATATGAACATAGTATTGTTTGATTATTTTTTTTGTTCCATATGTTTTAGAATGAAAGATTAGGGTTAATATTTACTCAATTGGGTTAGACCCCTAGAATGGGGGAAATGTGTTCATGATAAGTGGAATTCATAGAAAAACATGTAAAGTTAAAAGGGTATTAGGACAGCTTCTGTATTCATATCTTTGTTGCGTGGACACATTGGAGTGGTTACGCTAACAGTGGAAATGTGTTGGGCTCATGTATTAAACCAATGTCACTAAACAGTTTTATGTTTGTGACGTGAATACTCATCTGGACGTCCAACTACTGTTCTGTGATTGTCCAGGCTCATGTCATGTCAGACGGACAAAGTCGTTAGGTATTGTTCATGAGGCCATTTGCTTTATTCTTGGGTTTCATGCAACATGTTGAAAATCCTCTTATGTTATATATCAGTGACTCGAATGCAGTTCAAGAGCCCCCAGTAGTGCTCATCCTACAGAGAAACAAAGAAGACACATAGAGTTCTCAAAACTTGCTGCTTGTAGATGTATTTATTTTTTATCAACCTCAAACTCCATTACAGTAAAATATAAGTAATGTTGTAGTAATTAGATACATGTATTGAATAGGGAACCTTGAAATAAGGATGTTGGGCAGATGTTAACATTAAACCCTGAAAGCAGGGCAGAGTAGAGAGGGACAGCTAATATGCATAATCCTACCTCCTGATGTTTCAAGAGGCACAGAATGTGATGTTCATTATACAATGAAAGCTTTACAAGACAGCGAGCAGGATCTTCCCCTATGTTCCTCCCTAAGCTTACTTCTTCAGTTGTATTTGTGGAGAATATAAAAGGGAACATAATAACCCAACCCACCGAGGCTCTTTTTGGTTATTAAGTCACAAGGACCTCAACACAAAGAGGGTCATGTATTGGATGGTTTTTTTCTTATTTTCTTTCTTTTTCTTTTTCTTCTTGCACAAATGGATGGGGGTAATTCTGTGTATCTTCCACAGAATTACTGTGTGTACTGTAACATGCTCTCAAAGGGCATGTTTTTGGGGCTGATCTAAATTGCACATGTAGGTTTATGTGAAGGCGTGTGAAAAATAAAGTTTAGAGACGAGAGGTTTTACAGAAGCAAGATATTTCTCATAAACAATATTTAAAGGCCACATTGCAAAATGATCATAAGTCATATTTATCTGTCATTCACAGAACATCACGCAGACACAGCCACACGTATGTATATTTTTTTTTCAATTATCTATTTAATGCATATGTCTAACTTAATGTATGCGCCTCACCACTTCCTGAGCGCACATTATAGATTCGATTTATTTCACCAAATGAAAGTATGCCTACTTGGCCGCACCCAGCACAATTGTAGAGGAAAAATCACGCCAAGTGGGCTCGTCACCACTGTGGCCCCTCCCCCGCACGTATATAAACACGGTGACCCATCTACCCAGTAACATCAGCGCCAGCGTACGTGAAAGAGCGCGGGGCGGGCTCTGGCAACAGATTGTGCTTTCAGGAGGAAAAAGCCGTGGCAGCAGCGATGCTTCGACAGCTTCACCCCGGGTCACCTGTTGTTCTTCACGGTGAGTCTATCACTGAGATGCTGCAAGCTGCATTTTGGTGGTAGCCCACATAGCAATAGAGTGCATTTGTTTTTGCCTGTCAATACCTTTCTTGAGTTCTGAAATAAGCTAAAAAAAATAGACAAATGAAAAACAGTCGTAATACTTTGTAGTGAATGAAAACGACGATAGAAAATACTTGATTCTTGCATTCCGTTTCCTGCCTCGCCCGAGCTAAAGCCTAGGTTTTCACATGTCGTCATATTGCTTTGATTAGCCCCAAAAATGAAGAAACGCTTGCTCCGTATTCATCTTAAATGTTACATACTAATGTGCGTGTTGTATATTGCCATCTTTAGCTTTTATTGCATCCGGAGCTCAAACTTTAGTGTAGCAACAGGTGGTGTGTTTTTTCCTCCCAGGCCAAGAATCAGAGGGACGTGGCGAAAAGTAGGGCGTCATTCAGCACCGACAGACGCTGGACAGCTCCCACGACCAGTTTATCCCTTCTCTATTGGCCAATTGAGCAATTGAGAGGGGAAAAATAACAAAACATTCAGTTCACAAATACAGTATCAATGCAATAGTGTATAATATTACGCTAACTCAAATGCAAAAAAAGTATGTACAAGAGCATGTTCATGGCATCCTCTCTTCTGGGGTCACTGATTGGTCAAAACGCACCCCCATAATAATCCTTTCACTTATCTGTTGAGGACCCGTTTCCCTTCTTGCTCTCTTGCTTCCTCTCTCTAAACTGTCCCCTTATTCCTATCCCATCCCCCTCTTTCCACTGACTCCAGTCTTGTTGCATAGCTACCAGCTCTTACTGGAGAAGCAGGACAGCCATCTCTCCAGTCCAAATGTGACTTATTGGAACACAAATTACCCAGATGACGGTTATGTATTTAAATTGTGTTTTTTTCCCTCGGTCAAATTGAACATAATTACAAATTGTTCACAACGTAGTGTGACAGCTTTTTGTTCATTGCATATGGTTTATTCTAAGTGCTGTGACTGTGATCCCGCTCTCTCGCACCCCTCCTCCTGCCATATCCAGCTTTTGAGAGTATTTGAAAGGTTGGCATTACAGCAACAAAGGAAGGATGGAACGTCAGCATGTTTCCAGAAACATAGAAAGGGACTGCATGATTTTTCTGTTATTCCCGGAATACTTCACACAAACTCTTCACATCTGTTGAACCTACTGCATGAATTATTTTTTTCTGCTTCTTCTGTTGCAGGCAGGATGCACTTGTTGCCCAAGAGGAGATAATGTTGGCGGATCTGAGTGGAAGACTAGTGATTTTGTTGTGATGCTGATCAAATAACAACAAATCCCAGTCTGCCTCTCAGCACAAACAGTTCAATCTACGTGTTTTCAGACCGTGCACCTCAGGTTTTGTGGCTTGTTAACTGTGCTTTAGGATTCACATCACCATGCAGGTCTCATCTTGTACTTTGAGTTCCGTGGATCAGTGTCTGTATTATTCTAATTAAATGTATTTCAGATGACACACACACATGTTGAACATGGTCTTTTTTACCCATGTCTTTGTTGATTATTTTACTAAAACTAAAATAATAAAAGAACCGTCTAAAATGTTAAAATGTGTTTTACTTTTTAATAAACCGGTCTATTCAGGGTATTTTCTGTTCAGTCTCATCTTAAAGGTTAAGGATTTTATTTGTCTCACAAAAATTCAAAGAAAGATTGGACTCTCAGAGCTCTTAATGCAGCCTAAGTTTCTTGTCTAAGAGTTCAATAGTAATTTTATCCTAGTACTTGGTTCAGCTTTGAAAAACCAATATTGTTCAAAGAGATATTCTTCCCACTAATGTGGGCGTTGAAGAGGCTGAAGGTCTCTTTGTGAAAGGAAGGCTAAACATGTTGTGCAAAGCTCATGAATGGTAGTACATGTCAATTATTTCTTATCCAAATATAGCAGGGTTAATACAGTTTTTAGACAAAAGCAGAACTGCAGTGCTTCACTGAATGTAGCGGTGTGAGGGGCCCAGCATGAACAGACACAATTAGAAATCATACATCACTAACCATCCGCCAGTGTAGTTTCTGTTGTAATTTGGTTTGCGCCATTTTCCAATAAGCTATTGTTATAATGAATTTGCAAATTGACCTGGACAAGAGTACAGTGAAGAGTGTTGCAAAACAGATCTGAAGGTTTATCCTACTGCTAGGGGAATAAAAACTAGAAGATTAGATGAATAAAAAGTCAATTTTTAATGACACTTTGTGTTGAGTAAATATAATACAATATACATATGTATACATGGCAAAATAAAACTCAAACTGTTTATTTTTTTAAAAATAATGACATTTTAATTTTATCATTGAGGTTTTGATAAATACTGTGGTTTTTAATTAGACATGCCTGATGAGTGCTTTAAGTCTGAGATTGGCAGATTGCTGCTTTTTCATATAAGACCCAGGGCTGGTGTGTGTTGCTAAGCAACACAAAAGAGTCAAGAGCATTTTGTTTATAGGCCACCAAGCCTCAAGATAATGTTGAAAACTTAAGCTGAAGGTCCTTGTATTGTCTTGTTTTTTTCTTTGCATGTATTTTCTCCAAATTGATTCAGTGCCTCCAACTAAGGATACTTCAGATCTAAATTGATCGTCAGTAATATCACATGGCGGACCTTCTACAGAAGACAATTCAAAATATAATGTGTCACGTGGCATATGCTCTTTTGAGCATTGCCTCACTGCATCAGAGGTATGTGATGACCTTGTAAGCAGAGCTCAATACAGTCGTAATCGCTGGTTTGTCTGATGAAAGCCCGACAACGAAGAAAATGTTTTTTAAATGAGTGGCATGTGTAAGAAGTGAACAACAGGTGACGGAGAGGGCCTAATATATTGGACATATCCACATTTGCTGTCACTGACTGGGCATCAATCATAGTGGTACGATAAGCCAACTATTCCCCCCATGTCTGAGTTGGCAGCCGACACAAGCACATGGGCACTTTGACTGCTAGAATGGTCAAGAAGGATTAAGATGGACGTGAACCAATCGCCATTTCATGCAAGTAAAACTGGAACTACAGTTTAACCTGTTCTGACTTAACTCAATGTGTTCACAAATATAGTTACTATATCTTGTTTTTCATACAGCAGACCCAGAGAGACCCATACAAATTCTACACTGTACCAACAGGTGTCACCATCCCATCCTCATTTGGGATTACGCTGTTACAGCTTTTATAAGGCCTATGCTGTTAAAGTTCTTGTTAAAGTGGAGCAGACTTCACTTTTTATTTTTGTAAATGTATTACATAATGTAATTTAAATACCTGACAGAACTTAAACAAAAAATAATATTCTTAATAATGAATATCAATTTAATTATTTCTTTATATAAACACAAGCGCTGTTCTAAGGCTATCAGTAGCTGGGACATTCAAGCATCTCAGCAGATCAACTTTTGCAATAAAACTATAACATCTTCAGACACAGTTATTTGAATGCTTCGTTATCTTAAATGAGAAATGTGTATTGTGTGGGTACTCCTTGGTTAAAGCTGACCACCAGAAGAAGACACACAGAAATCATGCCAATACAGGACAAATCACTCAACAAGAATTTAAACACATAGTTTCAACATCACATAAAAATATTTGGGATTCTATTTACAAAATCAAACATGAGTCACAATTATTGAGGCCTCAATATATTATATGACAATAGTCAATTTGGGAAAAAAACAAAAACAAAATTCAGAGTAAATAGTACGAGGCCAATGGAAAACTCATAAAGCATTAGCAAGTAGCACAAACACCAGCAAAGTAACCTTAGTTCAAGTACATATTTGAAAGATTAATGCAATGTTAAAAGTATAAATGTTTCATTTTTAAAATTCGTCTGTTTTATTCATATTGAATTTTAGTTATTTTCTATGAATTGACTAGCCTGGGAAAACACATTGCTGTCTGCGCTCAAATAATTTCGTATTTAGTCTGGCATTAGGCAGGCTATGAATTGACTTGAATGTATCAAGGAATCGGATATAAGTAATTAAATGGAAATATGGCACAGAATACATCCTTTATCCTGCACCAGATATATTTTTCTTGCTAAAATAAATATAACAGTATAACTACTATAGAATTAATAATATGCTTTGTAAATATCATACCTTTGAGGTGGAGCTTTGACAAAGAACATTCATTTAAAAATGTACTTGTACACAGTATCAGAATGATTTACAAACATCAAGAGCGAATCCTGGGGATATATAAAAACTCTGGTCATTGATCATAAAACGAACAGGGCTGTAAATCCTTAGTGGGGGATCCTCATGAAATGTATTAACACCAAGATAGGTAACGACTGGTCAGGACCAATATTGTTCACTTTTAGGTGGTCTTCACCAAATCGTAGACATGGATATGTACATCATCATCATATTTGATGTAGTAAACGGTGGGTTTGGCAGGAACTTGGTAGATCACCAAACCCGTTCTCTTCAGACCATTGTCTGTTACATACTCCACCTGCTTACCCACAAGGCTTTCTGGCTCTTCCCCTGGCTTCCTGTCTGCTGGAAGTAAATGCTTGTTTTCTGTAATGAAAAATGAAATAAGAACAATAACAATAAGGACATTTATAACATTAAAACAATTCAAAGCATGTTAAAAAGAAGCACATCCTCACAAATAAATAAAAATGCTACTACATACCAGATTCTGGAAGGACACGCAGATCTCCATCCTTGTAATCGTCCCAGAGTTGGTACATGTACAGCACTGGGTCCTTTTCATAGGTGATGTAATACCAGTGAGTCATGATGGGTGCCCTGGACAGGACCATTCCCCTCCACTCATTCTTTTCACCATCTTCCTTCTCGAACAGATGCTCTACTGCACGACCCACCAGCTCTTCAGCCCCAGGTGGTACTTTGATTTTATTGTTCACTATAAGAAAGAAAAAAAGAAATGATATGCCATGAAAAGAGTTTCAGCATTGTACTAAATTAAAGGAGTCAAAATATAAATAATCTATAAAATTGGACTTACCAACTTTTTCGGTTAGCACCTGCAAGTTTGATACACGTCCATCTTTGAACAACTCAATGCCATAGACGCAATCAAAGCCATCATATTTCACCATGTACAGAGAAGTGTTGACTGTAAGCCGCTCAAGTACGGTTCCCTTCCACTTGGTCACATTGCCCTTTTCTCTCCAGGTGTGTTGGATTCGGCGGCCCAAAAGGTTGTCCGGGTCGAGGCTCAGAGTCGATGCGGAGCTCTCACTCAGCTCACCACTGCTACGCTTTCTATAAATCGGTAGGAGAAAAAACAAAATTTGGAAAATATTTACAATCAGGTGGTAAATTTCATATAAAGTTTTTATTCCAATCAGCAGTAAGAATAATTAAACTTCTGTCATCACTGTGTGTGGAATGATTGGAACAATATCTGAACTCTGAACATGCGCTATATACATAAACATTACTTACTTAATTACTTACTTAAACTTGTAACAACTATGTAGTTCTGTATGTATTGATTAGGGCTGAGTAGTTGTTCAGAATGTAAATAATATGTTGTCTAAATTTGACCAAGTTAAAGCTGGTGAGAAGCCACTAGAAGACATTATAATATATTTACTTTCCAGAACAGACTCATTTTTTTGAAACATTACAAACACATTTTGTTTAACCAAGGACTAAATGTATTATCTGCGGTTTACTGGTACTATTTAGGCGGCAGTAGCTCAGTTGGTAGAGCGTTGGCCTTTGAGCCAGAAGGTGAAGACTTTCACCATCGACTCCCACTGACTACTGTCGTTGTGTCCTTGGCAAGACACTTAACCTCTGGGAACACCAGCCACAGTGGGGCGGCTGCGGCTGTAAAGTGCCAAACTGCCGTTGTGTCCTTAGGCAAGACACTTTACCCCCATTGCCTAGAATGAGTCTGGTGTGTGTGTGAATGGTTGGTGGTGGTCGGAGGGGCCGATGGCACATACTGGTTGCCTCGCTTCTGTCAGTGTGCCCCAGGGCAGCTGTGGCTACATTAGTAGTTTATCACCACCGTGTATGGAGTGAATGAATAATGACACATGTGAAGCGTCTTTGAGTGTCCAAAAAAGCGCTATATAAAACCGATGCATTATTATTATTATTATTATTATTACTACTATTATCTGCATGACATTTCCTTTCATTGTGGAACGAAAGACGGTTCTGTTTCCTTAGCTATATATACGTACTAATTAGCATCATGGAGTAAAAATACAACCACTATACCATATTCTTTGAGCTCATTTGAAAGTCGCTGTATACCACTGGTGATGTATTAGTATCATTATCATAATCATTATTGGAATAGATGAATTGGAAACATACCTGGCCCGTTTTTTAGACATATTCCCATAAATTCAGACCTGGAGACAAATGAGCAAATAAGTGTTTCTGATACAGACATACAAACGTGAATGTAATAATCAACATAAAATATAGCAATAGCAAACACGGTGCGTCTGAAACTAGTTTGGAAACTTATGCAAATAGCCAAAGCTCTCTCTAACCGGATGTAAACAAATTGGCCCAGGGCTCGTGCTAAGCTAACGAGACATGCTAACTGATGCTAAGGTAGCTTCAATGCAAACTAGTCGCCAATTATAGGTTACACATTTATACCAACAAATAAATATGTAGCAAAACAAAATCAATACCAGGATGGCTAGCTAATGTGAAATAATTAAGTTAAGTCATGCAACAAATGCTGAAAATACACACATTTCCTCAGAACAAAGCCAACGATATATACAGACATAACAATGTTTAGTTACAGGAACATGCCCAGAATGTTTTGACACACAATAAATGCATAAAAATGTAATTGCTTGATTTGTAGATATTAGCAATCCGAACAAAAGAACGTATCGCCATGTAGAAGCTTATTTTGTAGCAGTGTTCACTTTACGTTCACGGAAGAAATAAAATGTGAAAAAATTATATTCTAAAATATTAAGAACGTGGGACCAGAAGAATCCGTGCTTTACTCTACCTGATCAATTATTTCACATGTGTTTGTCTTTGCAGAGCAGATTCCAATCACCAGAGGCTGTGGACACGGAAACGATGAACCATGGACTACAACTACCAAGAGCACTAGGGACAAAGCACGATGGGGCTTGAAGGTAGATCAAAGTATTCTGTTTATTTGGTTTTGTTTTGACCTTTTTAACTTTGAAAATTGGCATTCAATGTTTAGCAGGCAGGCAATATGTATTTTATGTGAAATACTAGATCAAAAGAAAATTGTGACAAACGCTATAGGTTTCACTGGGACACAAAAATGCAAAATAATAATAATAAGAATGAAAATACTATTGTCTTGCTGTCTTTGTGTAACTATTAAAGTGTGGTCTATTGCGTGAATTGATTGAATAACTCATTTGGTAATTTTTTGTGCCATATTCAACCACAAGATGCCACTCTTTACCTGACTCCAGTCTGTTGTGTGTAAGAAGAAACTGAAGCACGACCCTTGGGTCTTTATGGTTTGGGAGCTTTGGTTTTATCTTGTGCCAGATCAGCTCAGCATTTGCATGATTCACCGATAGGGACAAAGCTGTGTAAGTGTACTGTCAGTGCCTCTCATTAGGTCCCATTGTGAATACTCACTCTTTGATTTGTTGTCGACTGTGTTATAACCAATTCCATGTTTGTTCCATGCTAATGTACAGATGTAAACATACTGCTGCTAATGTACAGATGTAAACATACTGCTGCTAATGTACAGATGTAAACATACTGCTGCTAATGTACAGATGCTAACATGTAACTGCACATTGCTTTCTCTAAATCTTAATCTTAATGTTTAACAGTATTAAATAGAATGGTTGGGATGCAGATTTGTCACATATCCAATCTATCAGGAAATAATTAAAATGTCTCCTTATATCACTCTGTCATGTCTTTGTACTTGTGCAGGTACTCGTTCATCTGGGTACAAGATCCCACTGGTCTTCTGGGAATAGACCTGTGGGTTCAATTCCGGCCGGCCTCTTCCACACTCTGGCAAGGCAAGGCAAGTTTATGTGTATAGCACAATTCATACACAAGGCAATTCAAAGTGCTGAGCGGCAGGTATCTATTATGCATATGCATTACTGGACAAGGATACATACATACACAAAGATATGCACTGAGTAAATAAATTGTTGCAGAAAAAGAGTCCACAAAGAACAAGAATGAAATGGAAAATTAATGAAAGTAAGAAAGTCAAGACAAGGTTAGTGACCATTGATTAGAAATCTCTATTATTAGAAACTCCTGTGTGCAACCTGAACTGTACTATAGCAGGCCATAAGGGATGCGGCAACCTAGCCATGGCCTTAGGTCGCTGCTTTACAGAACTTAGTGTTGCTCCAACTGTTAAAAGAGGTTCGTGTTGTACCAGATTTATAGGGTTTAGTTTATACTATTGGGTTATTCTGGATTTTGGTCCTTGGTGGTGTGATAAAATCTTGTAAAAACTGAATAAAGCATTGAAGAAAGAGTCCCCAGCCACGATGCTTTTCTCTCTCTGAAAATGTTTTAAGCAATATAGCGTTATAGTGGAATATGGACTTTACACAATTGGAATTATATAATTTTGTCATTGTCACACATAAGTAGTTTTAGCTTTGTGAAGTGGCTATTCAGCATGGCAATATGTCAATCCCTTCATTAATAGGGTATTAGGAACATGGAGCTGCTACAGTCACAGTTAATTGACCGGAAGAATGGAGTTGGGCATAATTTATACTTAACTCTAATTCGCTGTTGCATAGAATCTCAAAATACTTATATTCTTGGCATCCTATTTTGCATGATTCTTTCACCCCAATTAGCCATCAATGATTCCATATTTATCAGTTGTTATATAAATCCTTTTATATGAACAAATGGTTTAATGCAACCAAGTCCACACAAACCGTGTGCCTTTTTGCATTCACTCATTTATAGTCTATTATTTTTCTGTGGTGGTAGACTGTAACTTTAACAATAGCCATGGAAAAAGGAATCCATAAGCAGCTGAGAGTATTCCAGAGTTGATATAGACTTCTTACTTGGCTGGGGGCTAAGGATTGGACTTTAATAATGTTATTCATGTCAGTCTTTCTAATTCATTAACTAGCAAGAGCTACAACTAGCTATACAACTAGCTAAGGTAAGTTTATATTACACAGGGATACTAAAAGTGCATTACAAAAGATAGATATTGGGACATTTACACAATTCTCATCTGTTTTACTCTACACCACCACATGGATTTGAAATTAAATGACCAATATGTGTTTTAACCTAATCATTTAAGCTTTACGTTTAGAGCTAACCAGACCAGATCATAAGTTCTGGGGCAGATGGGAAAAATGTAATGGAAAGTGATGGTGTGATGGAAAGAGAAGTGGAAGTGTCATGGCTCTTAGGAAAGTGGAAGCTACTTGAAGAAACTGTATGATGGATGAAGTGTAGGAGATTAAGCCACTCACTGGATAGGCTCATTTAAAACTAAGCTGCCTCAACATGAGGCCACAGACAAGCTCTATGCACCATGTTTCCCCACTGTGATAATACACTGACAAATATGTGTATTGATCCCAGCGACTCTCAAATATGGCTTCTAACAGTGCTTACAACTTGTGCTTACAAGTTGGGCTTACAACAGGTCTTACAGTACATAGTGTATTTGCAGAAATTGTTCTTTTTAGATAAGGTTTATTAGGAGAAGTTAATTTTTTTTAACTGATTTAACCTTAATGATAATGTCTTACACTTGGAATTCACTTTACAGGGGTGTTAAATGACTACATAAAGTAATTGTTCATTCAATCCATACCTATTCATCCATAGCTTCTTTTGCCACATCTAAGACTCGGACCAAGAACTGCAGCTGTAAATGAGCCTTTAGCTAACTCTGCTGCAGAGCATCTCTAAGATGAATGTTTCTGTGCACTGTCCTTAATAAAAAAAATCATCTTAACAGCTGCCCTGGGGCAGACTGATAGAGGTGAGGTTACCCCTGCACTCCTCTGACATTCATTCACTCACTCGCACCCAATTCATTTTGGGTCATGGGGAGTTCTGACAAAACCTCGAGTCCACGGGTGTTTCAAGGTCCATGTGAACGAGATCTTAGACCCTGGTTATGTGCCCACGCTCTCTCACCATTCAATCCTTTAATCTCTGCATAAACCGACTGTGACTTCATCGCCCTGAGTCATACTGTATCACACTGCTGTTCTCTCCGCATTTCTCCCGTGTGTTCTTGTCACTACAGACAGCGGGAGATACTGCACTCTTCAAAATTGTTGCTCATTTACATACATTTGATATCCTCTGTAGAGACCAGAGTTATTTTTGCACAAACATTTAAATACATGAACTATAAACTCTCAGCTGTGGAACTTGTGGAAATGCATGCAGATAAGGAAATGGGGAGCCACCGTGAGCTTGAATGAGATTAGCGCAAATTGTCTATCTCATAAAATGAACATATTGTCAACAGCCTTCTTGTACAGGGCGTTGGTGTTATGAGACCAGTCCAGTTTATTGTTAATGTAAACACCCAGGTACTTGAAGCGGTCCACCAGCTCAATGTCATACAAGTGGTTGCACTCACCAATTGACAAAGTCCATGATACCTCCAACGCATTTCCAGCAGACACACAGCCCACGGTGGTGGAGTCGGAGAACTTCTGCAGGTGGCAGCTGTGCGCGTCGTCTGTGAAGTCCGAAGTGTAGATAGTGAAGAAACGGTGAGAGGACGGTGCCCTGTGGGGCCCCAGTACTGCAGACTACCACCTCAGACTCACAGCTGCGCAGCCGCTCATACTGTTGACGGTCCGAGATGTAGTCGATTGTCCACGTAGTGAGGTGACTGTCCAGTCCCGCATCCTTCCCCCACAGCTGAGAAGTCAAATACATGGCCCTCGCAGGGCTCTCGACCGCCTCCAGGTGGAAAGCGTCCGCTGCAGCAAGTAGATGACAGTGTCCTCTACTGCGATGTTGGGCCTGTAGGTGAACTGCAGTGGGTCCAGGGTGGGGCTGACCACAGAACGGTTAATAGCTGTAATTATTGCATAGACTACAATTGTATTATGACTGATAAAAGGAGTAGCTTTCTGCCATTTCTGGTTCATAAAAGTAGCTCCCCTGGTGTAAATGCACATTGCAATAAGCAAAATCAAGAGCAGTTTTCAAACAACAACTTCTGTCTGAAAGGGGCATAGGCAAAGTCCCTCACTGTTCTGACAACCTCCAGCTGGATGACTCATTTGGTCACTTCCTTTAGTCGTTTTGAGGTTGTCAACCTCCTCTTCTCCTCACTGCTCGGCCACTACCTCTTCAGACTCTCACCACCCTGATGATGTCT